TGAATTTTTAGAGCCTTTGTTTAAAAGAGCTTTTCAAATGTGAATCTTTAAAATTTTGGATGTGAAACCCATAAATTTTTGGGATGAGAATCTTTGAACTTTGGTTAGAAATATCAAAAATTTTCAAATGTGAATATTTGAAAATTTGGTATGAAACCCAAAAACTTTTTGGATGAAAATCTTTGAAGTTTTGGTTCTAAAATATTAAAATTTCACGAATATAAATCTTTAAAACTTTGGATGAAAATACCAAAATTTTTTGAATGAGAATTTTTGAAATTTTAGATGTAAAACCCTGAAATTTTTCAAATGAGAATATTTGAATTTTGGCTATGAACCTTAAAATTTTTGATGTGAATCCTTGAATTTTTCAAATATAAAACTTTAAATGTTGAGTGTGAATCACTAACAAAAATCTTTTGAATGTCAATTTTTGAAGCTTGTATGTGAATTATAGTTTGTGAAACTCTTGCGAATCTATAGTTCTTGCAAATCTGAAGTTTTTGATAATCTTTTATCTAAAGTTCTTACGAATTTGAAAGTTTTAAGAATATTCCACTTATTGCAATTTTGAAACTCTTACAAATGCTTAGGACTCTTTGAGTTATTGTGAACCTAAAATTCTTACGAATCTAAATTCTTACGAATCTTCAATTCTTGCAAATCAAACATTCTTGTGAATTTGAAAGTTTTTGCAAACTTGAAATTTTGTGAAATTTAGAACCTTTGCGAAACTTGAAATCTTGCAAATTTAAAATTTTTGTGAACATGGAACCTCTAAGAATCTTAAGTCATTTACAAAACTTTTGGAATATTTGCGAAACTTTAAATTCTTGTAAATCTTGAATCTTTGCAAAATTTGAATATTTACAAAATTTGAAATCATTACAATTTTTTTTATGAATCTTGGAGTCTGAAATCTTTCAATATTTATTATGGAACCTTGTGAATCATTGCAGTTTTATGAACCTTTGAATTTTTAAATTGTGAATATTTGGATTTAAAGCTAAAAATCTTGATGTTTTTTCACATTTCCTATTTTAAGTTTTTTTTAAAAAGTTGTTGAACCTTTATTTAGAGGAGTTCATTTCTTGATTTATTTATTTTTTTAAATTACATGCCTCTGTTTAAAAGATCTTTGAGTTAAATCAGACACAATGGTTATTTATATCTTTGCGCAATTCTTATTTTATAAAAAATATACAAAGAGGATCAGTTGTAGACATCCAATTTTATCCAAAAAATTTTTTGGAACCAAATGTGGGCTTCGATCATAAATTGGGCTAGTTTGGGAAGCTTTGGGCCCAATAGAAAATTTTTAATTTTAATTTGGTTTAGTTTAATTTTTTGGTTTAATTTTACTTTTTTCTTAAAAAAAAAAGTCATAAGGTCCAAAAAAAAGTCAAAAAAAGAAAAGTTTCAACAAAATTTGATGAATATGATTTTGAAAAATTTTTGGGATTTAATTTCAAAATCAATTCATAGTAAAATAAAATAAAATAAAATTACAAATTCAATGGATTTTTTTTTCTAGATTAAAAAATATTGAATCCCTATAAAGAGGCAAACACAAAACACACACAAAGAGGGAAGATTTTCTGATGATAAGTTTTTTTTTTTTTTTGTTCTGGGTTGGTTTTTAGTTATTGGGAACACTATTTAAGGATTTTTGGATTAAGTTCCAGATTTTGGTTCTGGGTTTTCAAGGTTCTAATCTTTGAAGTCTTTGGGAAATTATGGAAATTTGTATGGAGTTTTGATTTGATTTTACTAAAATTAATTTACTAGAATTTTTAAAATTTTGGGCTTAAGGGTTTTCTAGGTTTTCTTTTGAATTTTTTTATGGAACTTTGAAGATTTCAGTGAGATTCACGATGACCAGAGGAAACTACGATGGTCGCTTTCTGCATTCATCAGTGTTTCTGAAAAAACTTGAAGATTTCAATGGTCGTTTGAAGATTCTGGCGTTGGAATCTGGGTTTTTAGTCGATTTTTGAAACTGTTTGAAGTTTTGACTTGGGGAGCTAGAAAAGAGGTGGAAAAAAATTTTTAGAGAGAGAGAAGAGCTGAGATGAATTGAAGAAAATGATGAAACTTGACCTTTTATATCTAAGGGCAAACGACGCCCTTTTAGAGAGGAACCTCTGACCCACGTGAACCCGTCTCCAACTCGTATGTTGACCTGGTTCCAACCTGATCCGATCACATGTATTTGCTTTCCTTTTTTTATCATATATTCTGTTTTGATTTTATTTTTAGATTTTTTATTTTTACTTAGTATTAATATTTTTATCTTTAATTATAATTTTACTCAGTACTTTAAATTGAAAATTTTTTTAATGTCTTTATGAATTTTAGTTTATTTATTTATTAAAAATTAATAACCAAAAAAATATTTCTAAAATAAATTCATGAATCTTACCAAATTATTAGAGGATTTTTTTATGAATTTAAATTTTTATGAATTCTACCAAACTATGGGAGAATTTCATAAATTAATTTTTATAAAAAATATTATAAATAAAAACTTTTGTTTTGATTCTACCAAACTATCAGAGGATTTGTATCTTAAATTAAATCTTATTAAACTATTTGAATATTTAATATATTTTCTAACAATAAATTTATAAGAAAATCTCATCAAACTATTATGAGATCTACATCAAAGTAAATCTTACCAAGCTGATGGAGGATTTTACTAATTATTTTTTTGAATAAAATATATTAATGAATCTTGCGACGGAGTTTCTTTAGAATGGAACACTAGTCTTTATGAATATTAATGAGGTGAGAAAGTTATCTTAAATTACTATCAAACTATTGGAGTAATTTTAAGATCAATTTTCAATATTAAATATTTTGGTAAATCATAAATATGATTAAAGCTTGCATAATTTGAAATCAAATTGGTACTATCATTTGGATGAGCACTAAAAGGGTGTTATAGCCTTCTTCACGTGTAACTGCACTTCGAAACATAAAATCTGTTTTCGCGAACTATAATATACTATTTAAAGATACCTAAGTTAATTTTGAGACTTCTTTTTAAATGTGATAAATTATGTCAAGCGGCCAATCAAACCTTAATAAAAAAGATTAGTAATGACTCCATTAATTTATGTTTAGTGGTAGGTCCATGGATCTATACGTTATGACATCTTACAAAATAACCATAATGCCTTTCTAGTTACTTGATAATTGAATGACACGTATCCAAATTGACTGCAATGCCCCTCTTTTCTATAATCAACTAAAATTGCTATAATGTCCTTTTATCATAATTACTAAAATACCTTTCCATCGTAATTTGTCAAAGTTATTATAATATCTCTTTAGCTATAATTACAAAAATACCCTTTTATTATCATTGGTTAAATTTACTATAATGCCACTCTTATCTTAGTAAAATTATTGATTTTTTTTTTAAATTAAGTTGAATGGGTGACGATATTAATGACCTTTAATTTCATTGGTAAATGGGTTTAAATTTGTTAATTGATCAATATTTGTAACAAGTAAATATTGCATCGCTAAATTGTCATGTATGTATTATTGAGTTTGGATTTAATCTATACAAATTTTTTTTTAAAGTAATCTCCTTTATTTAAAATAAAAGCCAGCACATACACAAATTGCATTTGAGTGATACAATTAGAGTATTAGTTTTTTTTTTTAAGAGATTATATTTTTCAAAAATAAAAAATAAAAAGCCAACAAAATACTAAAATATATTTAATTTTTAATTTATTATTAAATTAAAAAATTAGAAAAATATATTTCATCAAAATAAAAAAACTTTGCAACCCGAGCCTAACAGTGTCATTTTTCTAGTTGTATTATTAAAACAAATTTTGCTTTGACTTTAGTAGTTTCAAAATATTAAAAGAAACGAATGTACTTCAATACAATATTATTACCACACTCGGATGATATCCTTAAATTTATAAATTGGAGATCGCTTTATAGCTATTTTTGTTAATTTTTTATACGTTTTACAAAAAAAATTTATATACAAAATTAGACAAATATTTTTTAATAAATCCAACTCAAAAATTAATTTTTTTGGAACAATAAAATATATCAATTTACTTATATATAAAATAATTATATTTTTTTGATTTGAGACTTTTAATGTCCGATAATCACTTTAAGTCTCGATTATTTTAGAGTTGAGTCAGGTTGAATCCCACAAAAGGGATAAATTTTTTTAATATTTATTTTTTTTATTTACAAAACTTGAAATCAAAATCTTATTTTAAAAAAATTGAGTTTATTGTTGCTCAAATTAATAGACATTAATTAAAATAATTATAGTTAAATATATGTAAACAAACGCTTTAATCATATATACTTATTAACATATACATGATTATATTTATGCACATATATAAATAAATTTTCAATATATTTTTGAAATCTATATATTAATGCTATAAAAAAAATACATTTGTTTGACCCTTTCACTCAAATTTTATTTACACCCTAAATTCAAAACTTAAACATATAGTTTTACACATAATACCCATTTTCTCATTTTGTTCTTTTCCTTACGCACCCTTTGCACATATTTCCCTTTTTCTTTTTTTTTCCCCTTTCTCCATTCACACTCTTTAAATTCTTCAATCCCTAAACCAAATTTTATCATAAAAACTTTAATCCAAACTATAAAATTATAGACATTATTTTGAATATTAGGATTGAATCAACAAATTTGAATATTATTAGAGATTTTTTATTTAAAAAAAATAAAATTATGTATAAATTTTATAATCCCGTTTATAAAATTAAAGCACTCGATTGATAATATATCAAATAATTTATTATACAAATGAACAAAGTAATATTCGAAAAAAGGCTGTACGGCAATATAGCCAAGACACACGGATCGATGACGTGGCAGAGAAGATTGGCCTTTTTGAAATCCCGCCCAAACGCGGACTTCAATTCTTTTCGCGATTCGATTTTTAATTTCATATTTTTTATTGTCCCTAAAAAACCCTTCCTGAGTCCATATCACACCAAAGCCCACTTTCGCACGCTTCATACCACACCAAGTAAACATTCCAAGAATCGTTCTCTTCTAGTTCTTTGCGACTCCTTATCTCCCAAAGCAAAGCCCTATCGCTTGAGGTAACTCGCGGCGCAGACTCAGCCCGAACCGCCCTGGCTTTGACCGATTCCGGGGGATCCTTACTCGTTTTTGCCCTTTTTCTTGCAGGATTCACCATGAAAGGTGGTCAAACCAAGGCCGAATCGAAGCAAACTGGCAGCAAGTGAGTTTTGCTTTATTCTATTCGGTTCTTGTGTATTTTGCTTCCGTAATTATTGATATAGCAACCATAAAGAAAATAAGATATGTTGGGTTCGTCACCGAATTGATGTTTTGTTTCCGGATTCGTTGATAGGCTGAAGAGCAAAGGTGCAGGCGCTGGAAAGCGAGCGAAGAAGGCAGCCAAGGATCCAAACAAGCCAAAGAGGCCTGCCAGTGCTTTCTTCGTTTTCATGTATGATATATTTTCTCTAGAAAACTCTTGCGGATTTATTTTACTGCGATTTAGATTCTTATTCTTATTATTCATGTTGTGGATGAATGGTCAAACAAAGGGAGGAGTTCAGGAAGCAGTACAAAGAGGAGCATCCTGACAACAAATCCGTCTCTGCAGTGAGTCATAATTGTCAATACAAATCGATAAAGTCTCTTTTAGGTTTTTCTAATGGCTAGTTTTTGTACTTTGAATATCTTGTTCGTTATTAAATTTGATATTCAGGTTGGCAAAGCTGGCGGAGAAAAATGGAAGAGTATGACCGAAACTGTGAGTATTTTTACATATTTGTTGTTTGGTTGACTTATATTGGCCAGAAAAATTCTCATTCTCATTTGGAACTTCAGGAGAAAGCTCCTTATGTTCAGAAGGCAGAAAAGCGAAAGAGTGAATACAATAAGAAGATGCAGGCATATAACTTGAAACTGGTAAAACTATAACATTTCGCTCTTTTAATTTGTATTATTCCTTGTTATTAACTTTGTAATTTTATGGCATGGATTTAATTGTATTGGTTTTGAATACGTAGGCCGGTGGAGCAAACGATGATGAATCTGACAAGTCGAAGTCTGAAGTCAACGATGAGGATGAAGAGGATGGGAGTGGAGAGGTTGGTTCCAATTCAATACTAAAACAGGATCTGAAGAAAAAAGAAGAAAATTTCAATGATTTACCGTTTCTAGGATTGGATTTTCATTTGTTTGTTTGTTGTCTTTTTTGTAGGATGAAGATGATGAGTAGACGAGCTTGATGCAGGGATGCACAAATTAGATTAGATTCGGTTAGATTCAGGAATTCTTTCCTTCTTAGAGGAATAGTTGACTTGGAATTAATCTCCTAGAATCTTATTTTAGATTAGATAAGGGACATAAATGGATTAGTTGCAGCTTCTTCCTGGAGCTTATATGGATTTGTACTTAAATTTTCTTGGAAATCAAAGATTAAGCTTAAGATTAATCTGGTTTATTTGCTTAGCAATGAATTATTAGGTTTGAGATTATAGCTTGCTGCTGAAGTTGAATTTTTGTGTGATTTTGTTTTTACTTGGAGTAGGATATTTTTGGCCATGTTGACTGAGTCATCTGATGTGGTCTTTTGATTTTTTTTGGGTTGGATAGATTGTCAGGCTATAAATAATTCGTGTTTTCATAGGATATTGAGAGGTTGCTTTCCCCTATTTTTTTCATATAAAGAAAAAAGGCATTGGGGATTTTAGATTTTTTTGTTCCAGTGAATTGAAGGGCTAGCACAGTGTGCCGTTGACCGATGTGGCATTTTGGTTGTTGGGATGGAAGCTTGATTACATCCTGTTTTTGTCTTTTTTATGTTGGCATTGCAGAGTTTTGAAACATTTCCTTGTGTATTCCATATTTTGTTTGTTGTTGGTGTTGATTGTGACTGTTTTATAGTTTAGCTTCCTTTGGCAGTGGACCTGGTAGCGGTGGGAAGTGGGAACTGGTTAGACATAAGGTTGACAATTCGTGTGGTGGACTTAACGAACGTGAATTTGTTTGTTTACCGCCAGCAATTATTTTATTTATATTTATTTATTACGTATTTAATAAATATAAAATTATTATATTGTAATTCATCTCGATAGTTTAATATAAAATATATATTTTATTTTATCACAGTTTTATTTAATTTTTAATTACATTTTTAAATTATATTATTTTTATTTTTTTATGGAAAAATTATTTAATATATTATTAATGAAGTGTTTTAATTGTACAAATAGATTTAATATAGTAATATATATTCTACTATTTTAATTAATTTTTTAATTTTTTAAATATACTTTAATAAATATGTTTCATCTATTAATTTAATTTGTTAAATTAAAATTACATTATTAATATATTTGATAATTTTTGTAATTTTATCATGTTTAAAATTAAAAATCTGATTTTAGCTTTCTTAGTCTTTTTGTTTGATCTTTGCGCTGGCATCAACTAGAAAATTCATAGGGAAAAAAGTCACTTTCGATATCTCAGGCTTCCCAGTAAAATGCTTTGCATTGAGATTGGAATGGTGGAGTTAAAGTGAGCAGTGGACCGCCCATGGATCGGAAAACTGAAAAGCTGTAGATACAATGGAAGGAAAATTTCCCAATTCTGTTAGCTTGAAAATCAGACGGATACTTTCTTGTACTTGGCTTTCGACCTAACGGTGCTGCTTCAGTAGTTTTAAACGTTCAAGTATCGTAAAGGAGCTTCTGTTTTCTTGTTTGGGACTTGGAGTTCCATCAATTCCTTTGCTCTCCCGTGCCACCACCGGCTCCGGACTCTTTGTCTTTTTCAAGGATTTCTGGATTTTGCAAATTGAACAACTCAATCGAAAGAAAATTTGCTCAGGCCTCGTGTGGTTGGGTTTGCATTATGGTTGTTCTTCTGACTTCTAATACGTAAAATTTTCGAGTAAAATGCATATGCGTCTTTTTAACATTTATCCTACTTTTGACCTTACAATTTAGAGAAAACACCAACACTTCTTTATTTCCATATGAATGGAATATCTAAAGTAAAACACTAAGCAACTGAATCTTTAATGCTGCTGAGGGAACATTTTAGCCTATGTTAGATTTTAAGTGGTTTTTGAGGTGGTAGGTATAGTTGGACAAATGATTGAATTGGACTGCTAGAAGTCCAAAAACAAAAGAATGTATTTCAATTCAATTAACAAACGGAAGGAATGCAAAGGACCAAACTTTAGAGTTGTGGAAGCAAACAACAGTCGTGGCATGGGCATTTGACAACTGGATCGTGGCCCAAAAAATTGCTCCAAATTTGAGAAGAGGTCCATTACTTGAACCAGAACTATCTACTCCAGTATATACCAATGCCAATGGAGTTGGGTTCTGTGTCCGCCGCTCGCAGTTCCGTGGAGAAAGAGACAAAGAGCGGGACGATGGCAGGTGTCGGAAAATGCTTCCTCGTTACAGGCCCTCCTGTAAGTATTGCTATTGCTGTTACTGTTAATATGAAATGACGAATGACTTTCCATTTTGCAATCTTGAGAAATTTGAAATTGGATTTTTAAATGTACAGGGTGTGGGTAAAACCACTCTGATTATGAGAATATATGAGACTCTGAAGCTCTCGAACCCCAACCTCAAGCTTCAGGGTTTCTACTCTCAAGAGATTAGACAGGGAGGTGAGAGGGTTGGGTTTGAAGTGGTTACCTTGGATGGTCGCAGAGGTCGGCTCGCCTGCTCCATTCTTCCCAGGTTCTTTTTTCTCTTTACTTGTTTCCTTAACTTATTTCCTTAACTTATTTCCTTTTTCTTTACAAGTCCAGCTAAAGTATCTATCGTATTGACAGTCCTGAAGCTCGACAGTGGCCTGCTGTTGGGAAATACAAAGTGGATATAGCATCATTTGAAGCAGTGGCATTGCCTGAATTGAAGGTGGGTTGATCTAGTATAAACTCTACTTGTCATGTATTCGAATCCTGTAAAAAATTGGCAATTCGTTTTATTTGTATTATTTTGCATGAAAATTGTCTTTCACAATTTGTATAGACAAGAAAAACATGAATGGTTTTTGCTAAATATCAAACTTTGTCACCTTTGTATCTCTTTTTTATATTGTTTTCTTGTGTGTGTTGGTGTTTTAAATTACCGGTCTAGCTTTGAGGGCTTTATGCTCCTTAGTTCCTTCTTCCCCTCCCCATTGTCCCTAAAATCACTTACCGAAGATTATAATCTTTTTTAAACCAAATTAATAATGTACCATACTAGTTAAACGGTCTAATCTGTTGGGTTATAAACTTTGCATTAACTGTTTCAAGTTATGCATGCTCATTCAATTTGTGTATAAAGAAATTATTAGAGGCTAAAGATTTACATTCTGTTATCAGGTCAGAGAAGATACAGATCTCTTCATCATCGATGAAGTTGGTAAAATGGAGTTGTATAGTTCATACTTCTTTCCAGCCATTCTAAATATTCTTCAATCCAATATTCCTCTTCTCGCCACTGTCCCTATACCAAAATTTGGCAAAGATATACCTGCAGGTAAATTTTCTGAAGGCATTCATATTTATTTGTTAAGAGAATATAGTGATTGTCTCCAACTTTCTTTTAATCCCCGTACCTACTTGAGATGATGTTAATTTGATATGAACCATGAAAGACTAGGACTATTATTACAGGCTTTTCAGAGTAGGATTTTATTATTTAAAATATCTCCTAGTCTTTGCTGCTGGATCCCTTTTGCCTTGCTAGCTAAATTTGTATGGCTATGATGTGTAAATTTGTGCAGTTGTGAGGTTGAAGAACCATCCAGGTGCAACCATTTTCACGTTGGATCAAAGCAACAGGGATGCTATGAAAGAGCAGATCTACTCTCAGTTGGTAGATATGCTTCCTAAACCTCTGGACTAGGTTAGTGATTTAAACTTTTCTAATGTATCTGGTTCACCCTCTGAGTAATGGAAAGTATGTCATGTATTGAATTCCTTCTGCTTTTATCTTTTTTTGCACACCTTGTATATGCTTCTTGCGGCTTAAGATCTTTTATTTTGTTTTATTTTATTTTATTTTCTCTCTTACCCAATGATTTCTTCAGCTCTTTATTTTGTGTTTTTCTGCGGGATCCATTAGAGAATACGTAGTATGGTTATTTTCAACCTTCTCTCAGCAAGGTGACTTAGTCTTTCCTTGGTAGAAGGATACAAAAAGTTGATTTAGCCTCTGCTTGATAAGAAGAATGGAAAAAGATGAGAATAAAAGACTTGTTAATTTAATGGTTAAAATTCATAATTGTTTTCTTATTTTATAGTTAAGGCATTAGATTAATAAATGTTTCATTCTTTTTCTTACTTTATAGTTTGACCATTAGATTACCAGGCTTTCTATTCTCATCTCTTTCCATTCTTCTTACCAAGTAAAGCCCTAGTGTTTTGGGGTGACAGCCAAGAGGAGAGTCTTCTGGGTTTTTTTTTGGTAAACGAGAAGTTAAGAGCCTAGCGATCTCTGAAGTTTGAACATATGATTTACAGACCTTGAACCTAAAATACAAGGTTTTAACTAGTTATACAAGTTACAGATACAAATTGGGCTTCGTTTCAAAAATTTTTGTTACAAAAGAGATCTTAGCCGTGGATAAGGAAAGAGATTAACTGTTGAGATTTGAACCAGATTTAAAAGTGATTTCATGAACCAATTGATTTAAACTCCAGGTTCTTTTCATTTCTTAAAAAAAAGCAAATTACAGGGGAGACCATCTCACTGTACTGGAATGTTTGTCAACCAATTAACTGTTATCCAACAAATCTGACACTGATATTGTAGTCAGAGAAAGGGTTATAGTGCATTTCAACACTTTTTTCTTTAGTTGTTGTCTACCCGTGAAAGGAAACAGAGTAGAAATACATTCCTGCGAAGTGTTAATTGTATGTATGAACGAAAAGAATACCTTAAAAAAAAAATTATATTTCAGTTAAAGTACACTCATTTTTCACTGCTATACAAAATACGGAGATGGACATACAGTACACACAGAAAATAGGGGAGTAAATGGGAAAACAATCATTTCACGGCAAAACAGTGCGTGGTATGGCTTATTGGATTCGTTTCTCTTGTTCTGTAGTGCGTAGCAATTCTCTTGCCATAGAAGAGAATGATTTAGCACTATCTTGCATCTCTGTAGTTTTCAAGCTGATTCCCTGCACAATTCAACATTACGTTTGTTAGTGAAGATGAAGTTGCAATTTCAGTTGAATGTCATACAGAATCCTGGATAAACAATCTCCATTGCAAAAAGAAGATGCCTACGAAGTGGCATTTCTCTGCTGCCCATCCAAGTGATGAATAAACGATCTTTCATAAATACAGAAAAATCTCCGCCTTATCTGAAAGAACCAGGAGCATACAAAATCAGTACCTGCAACTTTCTCAAGTTTTCGTGAAGCTTGCTTTCTGCCATTTTAGCTGCACTTGATTCCTGCAGCCAAAGGAAAAAGGACCATAGTTATCCTGCTCTTCACACAAGATACAACAACTAAGGTCTCCTAACCTGGTATTCGTTCTGTCTATGAAAATAAATGAGTTGAAGAAGAATATGTTCTAAAACAATATTATCTCAAGTCACCTACAATTCTAGGAAGATAAACTGGAAAGCACATTTTGCGGTGTTCATCGTATAACCAAGATCTTTGGCGTGACTAACTTTTTTGAATGCCTTCATTAATCTTTACTCATCACTACCGTTCTTAATGAAAGTAAATGCCAATTCATGAACTCAAGGCAATTGCAAGCTAACCCATACTCACTGTGGCAACTAACACACACTCACTGTGGCAACTAGCACACACATTTAGGATGCTTGCTTGAAGCAAATACTTACACCTTGCAAAGAAAACCCGTATTTTTTCTTGATTTGATCAACAGCACTGGATTTCTCATCTTGCTGCTCTTCTTTGGTGATAGTTTTCTCATTTTTGACCATCTGTTTCAGTTTCCCTGAAAATATATAATCATTTATGGTCAGTATTTACCCCAAGTGAGTCTGTAGGTTTATAAACAGACAAAAGACACTGACCTGCTGTGAAAGCCTGAAATTTAAGTTTATGCTTATTAAGAGCCGCTAAGATATTCTGTTCTTTAGGTTTCTCTCCAGGATCATCGAGATCAATGTCATCTTCAAAGAAAAAAAAGTAAAAAAAAATTGATTAAGCTGATGCATGAAGTTGACAATCACCATATGTATTGCCAAGTCCTCACAAGCATCAGCATGTGGAAATAAAGCCTATCTGAAGTAAAAAATTGAAGACATTAAGTACCTCCCACAATGTACAATTTTAAGATTCCTATGACATACTTACCTATGTCTAAATTTATTTCATGCTCATCCATAGCCTGATTATCTCTATTTTCAACCTCGCATGGAAAGTTTGCAGTTGAAAAGATGGTTGAAAGTTCCTCAATGCTTTCTCTAGTATCTTCTGTCTCCACTTCAGGCACATGCTTTTTACTGCCTTTTATGTCTTTGAGGACAGAGCCAAAAATTCCCTAACATGCCAAATAAGTAACATTTTCAGGATAACCATCAGTTTCAGAAGGTGTATCTTGTATGTACAGACCAAGCAGTGCAGTCTATTATCTACCTTTTTCTTCTCCTTCTGAACTGTGGTTCCAGAGGCAAGCACTTCCTGTGAAAGCATTAGATCTTTCCTGTAGATGCGGCTGATAGAGTCCACAATCCTAGAACAAGAATTAATGGATAATAATGTCTGCACCAAAATGTTTAAACAGATAAAAAAAAAAGGAGATGCAATCTTCTACAAGGTTTCCCAGACCTACCACTACCCAGACAAAAGAAAAAAGGGGAAATTAATAGTAGTTTTTTTGAAGTTCAATATCAGTTTCCTAAACATGTAGAAAAGCAGAAAGCAGACCAGGAAGGAAATGATGATTTTCTTCTCTCTTCATAGAAAATAAAATGATTGCAGTGGCTATCTATTTGCTTTAAGTTTTCTATGTAAGCTACGAAGGAGGTTCTCCTTCCATGTTGGGATGTCGATTTGTCAGGACTTGGCAGAAAAACTTGGTAAGATGATACTTAGTTACACAGATAAGTGATAAAGATAACCCAACAGTTCAACAGACTACTTTCTAGAGCATGCATATACCTAAAACTTTCCTTCTGGTGCAAAACAGAGACAATAAAGAATTCCTGATCACCATTCACCTGTTAAAAAGAGGAAGTAAAAGAGTAAACCAAAACTATCTCCTGAAAATGATATATGAAATAGTAAAGTTATTAAATATGTTTGTACCATAACAAAATCTCCACAGTTTGAGGAGCACATTGAGCTGTCAGATAATGAATTTGGCTTTGGTGTAGAATATCTGAAACCTCTGATTGAAGTTTCCTTCAACAACGTCAACTCTGGCAAGGACCTTAGATTACAAACACAAAAGGTTTAGTTGATACCCATGAGATCAATGCCAGAAATAATTTTCAAATAAGCCAGTTCCAATATCAAAGCATTGCAATGATTTTTGTGACATTCATTCAGTAAAGGCCTTTTTCGTTTTTCGTATAATTCAATTCACAAATGATAAACCACAGACAAATATATAACCATCACCTTATTTCAGCTTTTCCATTAGTGAAGAGAAGCGTGAGGCCAACATCAGAGGCAGTGTAAAATGTTGATGCCCAGCAGCAAGAAGTGGAATGAAACTTCTTCTTGTAGTGCACTTTTTTGACTCCCTGAGTCAAAGACAAAGGTGAAGTGAGGCCCCATATTTGTTCTGAGGGGCGACGTGGGCATGAAATGAATGATTAGTGCCTACATTGATAATGTGCTGATTACCTGAATGGCATGAACCAAGGAATAGACATATGCCGCCTTCTCAGAACAGATCAGTATGAAAGATTGCTTTGGTATGCCTTCCTCAATAGTACTCCCTGGACTGTTTGATATATTTGCTACTCTAACTGATATATCCTGCCAATCTGTAGAATATATAAGGATTACTTTTTCCTACAAGCTAGTACTTTTGGTTATCGGGTTTATATGTTCAATAAATTGATTATGCTAACTAGTAGTTAGTTTAGGAAGCATGTTGACAGCAGCACATACCCAAAACCTGCATAAATAGTGCTCTCGAGGGTTTCTTTGGACGAACTATGCTAGTACTCAGCATGTTTCCGGTATCACTATCAAAGGCCAAAACTGATGAATCCTTTGTTGCGACCACCAAAACATTCTTTTCAAAATTTTGCAGACTACAGGTTTTAAAGTGCGTTGAAATGATGCCAAGACAGATATCGCTAGCAATATGACTTTGAAATATGATATTGGGACCTTCTGTGTCAACTAGTGAAACCTGTTATAAAAGTTAAAAGTCATTACACTAACAAGCCCTTGTTACTTCCTCCAATATCAGCCCACATCGAAGAATTTCAGAAAAGCTTGTGAATTTCACGCGCAAGGAAAGAAATGGAAAGAAAAGAAGCTTACATCTCCTTGGTCAGACCCAATGGCAAGATGTCTTGTGCTGTGGCTTACGTTTAGAGAGAGTATAGAACCATTAACCTTAAGGGCCTTAACACTGTGGATAATGTGATTGTTCCCTTTCTTTGTGCTTCCTGGACCAAAAAAGATTAAACAAAAAGCTAAAAAGTGAAGATACTTCTCATGGTGATTAAACAAAATGCTAAAAGTTGAAGATACGTCTCATGGTGATCATTTCTAGGATATTGATTGCAGAATGTAAGTATGCAATTGAGAGCTAAAATTTGATAGAAAATCTGAACTACATTTCCTATAAATGGCTAAACTACTTTTCATACTTACTTGAGTGTCAAGTTCTTAGGAAAAAAAGGCCATTGCTAAAGATTATTTTATTGCTCATACAACTAATAAAAGAGCAGGAAGAGGACCTATCACATACATCCAGCAACAACAGCTAGACCTAACTTAAAAACCTGCTAGTCTAATGATATGATTAACTATACCTTGGAAAGAGATGAAACTGTTTTCCGCTGTATATGGCTCTGGCTTAAACTTAAAGATG